TAATAAAGCAATAACAAAAGTAATAATTATAAAAAACTATCACCAAATTTAATACAATAAATATTAACAGAACAATAATAAAAACTTGTAACCAAAACACCGTTGCATTCACAAGAACAAAACAGCAACATACATCACACTTCTCCGGTATAAAAGGTGAAGCAAAGTCATTCTCAAGACAGTCAGCACCACAGCTAGCTTGTGTTCACATCGGAATCTTAAGTGCTGCACAAAGCTGAAAAGAAATATACATTTTTTTCTTCAACACATTGTCGCATGTGTTGGAAATTAACATTTCTACGCCAAATCCATTTCACGGAGAAGAAATATACATATTTTCAACACATTGTCGGGTGCGTTAGAAATTAACATTTCTACGCCAAATCCATTTCACGGAGAAGAAATTCACATTTCTTCAAACGACACATTGTCGGGTACGTCGGAATTCACATCTCTACGTTAAATCAACAAACGGTAAAGAAAATCACAACTCTGTGATCAAGTCGCCGCTCGTGTCGTACGGGAAGTCTGTCGAGTTATCAGCACAAGCGTTCCACTGTTTCTATCAAATAAAATAGACCTGGAATTCGGCGATTATTTGCATTCTGCCTATTGTAAATAATATAAACTTCCAGAATATATACGAGATATTTCTCCTTCGAAAAATGTCAAAACAAATCATAGTTATACCATTTCGATTAGTTGCATTCCGTCTACTGTAAACGATATAAATCTCATATAAATGATGAATGTATATAAGATATTCCTACATTAAGAAATATCAAAACTAATTATATACAAAGGATATTCCTTCCTCAGAAATACATAAGCTAAGCGAAGCGGGTACGAGTAGTTTACGCGTTTACCAATAACTTTATAGACGAACTAATAGAAGAAGAATAATTTCTAAAAAAAACTTTGCTTTGCAACCACAGACCAAGGATATTTTGAACCGCTACTAAACTCCAGATCGCTTAGAAGAACTAACTGGCAATCACTCATGTATTTATTTACTTATAAACAAAATAAAAATTCTTGATAGTATTTACTTACTCAACTTTATTTAAATATACTTACTAATAATATATAAAACAAATAAATATAAAAAACCACTGTAACTACTTGTTAACGGAATAGTGAAGTATAAGGAATATCTGCTTTTAGAAAGTAGTGTCGAGGAGAAGAGAATCCCCAAGGATAAATGAAAATGGATGTCGGCCGTATTGCCAGACATTTTTCTCCAAATGTTAGAAGAAAAGCCAAGACCTGCTCACTCCTGTGAAGATGCCGAGTGAAACTATTCGCTTGCAAAGATGCGAGATCGGTTACCTTGTACAAAGCAGCGATCTCTAATGGTGAAGATTACGTCTAACTAGCCCTTGCCAGAAAAATCAGCTGACGGACCAGTGCTGTCAAGGCAGCAGAATACTGAGAAAGTTCAGGGCGAAGACCACATCAGATGAAGATGGAGTTGCTCTATCTTATGTCTGAAGACACGTCGAATGCAAGGCCGGTGACCAGACTAGGTAACCTATTCGATGAGAGCGGGCTCCTAGACTCGGATGACGAGGAAAACAAAACGGTGGAGAAGTTTCAAATACCTGCTGAAGGTGCTGGAGATTAACCTCTTCCAATCAAAACGTGCATCAGCAAACCAACTGATCTACCTTGCACAAGATGGAGCCAATGTGGAATCAAAACTAATGATAAATTCATGAGCAACACAGACTTAGGTAGACCAAGATCATGTGTGCTAATTAAAAAGAACATTAATTGCTTCCTTTTGAATAATTTCAGAAATGTCGACCACGCAGCAGTGAGTCTGGAAATCGACGGTAAGACCCTATGGGTGACGTCATCATACATGGCCCACGACCATAAAAGAAATGCACTACCACAAACACTAAAGCGGCTCGAGATTACAGTAGCGGAAAGGATGACGGATGTGGTTATTGGAGCCTACGCAAATGCTCATCACACGATCTGGGAAAACTCAGTCATTAATGAAAGAGTAATTAATTGATTTCATTCTAGATTATATTCTTTGTACATACAATATAGGAGTAGATCCTACATTTATTACTGAAAGCAATGAACACTCATTCTGTGGCCATCGTTACATTCAGTTTTATATAAATCTTCAATGTCCAGCTGTGAAACCTATCAGAACTGCCGCAATACCAATAAAAGTAGATAAATATCGAACAAGTCTATTAAATCTACTACCACTATATTCTCATGAAGAAGTAGAGACTTCTCACTCAATTTACATTTATATTTAAATTTTAAGTAGCTAAAATAATGGGTGCTGCTTCCTTTTATTTATTAATATGCAACACAATAACGACTATCGTTAACCTTGTAACGAAAGTACTGTTCTTCAGACAGTTTTAGCTTTATACCTTACTTTTTTATTTTTGAACTCTCTCTTACTTTTCAAGTCCCAAGACAGCAGCACGCGTTCTTCATAGCTTTTCGAATTGTATTTTGTTATATTTGAATTAAAAAATCTAAATTAAATTTTCATAAATTGAATTATAAAATCTAAAGTGAATTTTAATAAATGTAAAAACGCTTGCATTTTTCATTTGATGAGATTGTACCAGGGAGTTGTGTGTTTGTTGCATTCGACTTCATCTCGTTGCTTGGTAAAAATGCTGCTTTTATCAGACCGACTTATAACTTTACATGGTTCCTTAAATGATGATTTAAAAGGTGGTCGTACTGCATCATTGCGCAAGAAAACGTGAGTACATTTTTGCAACTCGCGTTGTACGAAAACTTTATTCTTTGAATGTTGTGATATGGGTATTAGACGAATGTTGTTCATGGCCTGTCTAAAACGTTGCACCAATTCTGAATATATCTGGTCGTCTTTGATTTCTCAAAAAAATCACATGACAGCTTTAAAGCGCTATCGTTTACGATTTCTGCAAGTGTGGCTTCCAAATCTTTCTTATGAGTGTTCCTTAGGGCAAGACTGACAAGTTGAAGTATTTCAGTCCAGTGTTGGTCAGTTTTATAATTTAAGGCTGTATTTAACGTGTGATGGAAGCGTTCAATCATGCCATTGTTTTACGCCTAGTTTATGTGCCAGCTCATTGAAAAGTTGGGATTAAAATTGACGGCCGTGATCGGTACTGATTTGCGATGGCACTCCGAAGTGTGTTATCCTGCCATTATTGAGTGCAGTAGCAACTGTTGAAGCATGGATGTCTTTGATTGGAATTGTGCCGGGTCTACTAAATCCATCGATACAGGTTAAGCTTTATGTATATCCATTTATGGTAGGTAGTTGTGAAGCTGTCAATTGCTATTTTGTTGTGTCTTATGACCTTTATACGTTGGCACCGAATGCATGTTCGTACCATTCGGGCGATGTCCTGCTTCATACATGGCCACACGTACCGCTTACTGACAAGTTTCATAGTGGCTTTTTCTCCTGGATGCGAGAAGCAATGCACGGCATTGAAAATGTGTTGTCGAAATGATTTGGGAGTGAATGGACACGCGTTCTTTGTTGACATGTCACAGGCGATGGATATTGATGCGCGTAGGATAGGTGCGAGTTTCAGTTTCAGCGCTGTATTACTGTTCGTCAAGAAATCGTTGGTCTCATTGTCTGTTTTTTGACTTTAAACAGTAATTCAAAATTTATTTTTCCTTCTTTGCTGATCCTGTGGTGAATGTCTGCGCCAACGACGAAATTACTGGCGTCCACGTGTAGAACTAAATGTAAAGGATGTGCTAAAGTCACTGCGTCGGCTATTGCTTGCTTGCATTGTTCAAATGCGGCTTCGGCTTCTTGTGTCCAGACAACAAGATTTCTGTCGTACTTTTTGTTGCCTTTAGTAATAGCTTATAACTGACCTTGCATCACTGCCGCGTTGGAAAGAAATCGCCGATAAAAATTGTTGTGAGTCAAGAGACTCAACCTATAAAGAACGTTTTGATTTATATTCCAACATAAGGCATGCCTAAAAGTAGGCAGCGTCGTTTGCAGCTTGCACAATAGCAGTAACCAAGGTCAGCTTGACGGTAAAACAAGCTGATTTTCGGTTTTTTGTGTCAAGCTGAAATAAATAATCAAAAGTTGCAAAAATATCGAGTGCAACTTAAATTATCGACGTTTTTGCGAATTACGCAAAAACTATTGAATAATAATAAAAAAATAATTTGGGGCACCTTGGAATGTCGGCATCTTGCATAGGTAAGACCTTTAGAATTTTTGTTGAAAAGATAGTAAACAATAGTCTAAAGAGGAGTTGGATTGTCTGTTGTGTTTTGGGAGTTGTGTTTTGAGCAGTTGTGTTCTGTGAGTGAGCTTGTGCTCTATAGAGCCGTTGGGCTCTAAAACCACGAATTAAATCTTCAAGGGTAGAAGAAGAATAAACACGAACCATAGAATTGTATTAAATAAATGTTCTAATGGCAATTACTTATTAAAACGAATCATACATATTTAGTTAATTTAATTTAATGAAACAATCACAAAGGCTGAAGTGTGTTGAAAAATAAACAACAACCGTAAAATTGTATTAAACAAATGTTCTAATAGCAATTACATACTTATTAAATCGAGTCATACATGTTAAGTTAATTTAATTTAAAGAAACAATTACAAAAGGGAACCAATTATAAAAATAACAAGAGAATAAGACATGTAAAGTGGTTAAGCGTAGTAACGCTGGATAAAATATTGTTTTATGTAATTTTGTGGAAACAACAAATAAATATTTTATTAAATATGGAAACAATAAAAAATTGAATGTTTAGCGTTTCATTTTAACGTAATTGCGGTAATAACCAACAGTATTGACACCAACGACCACCAACGACAACGGGCGTGGGTTTAGGATTGGGAATTACTGTTATTGGGAAAACCGAAAAATTAACACCCATATTCACTAGAAATTTGAGTTGAGTCTTCTTGTCTACAATGAACTGACGGCTTGACTTGTAACCACTAGCTTCATCTACCATCTCTGATTAAGCTGTATTCAGTTTCCGGATGCGTTGTGTTTGCAAGGTTTGGCACATTTGATTGCTTTAGCACCAAACCTGTAATGATAAAAACAAAGGAGTTGCTTACTGATCTGATTTGTAGAATGTGTGCGAATGTGTTGGACTGGATCACGATCTGGAGTTAGGAATCGAGATCTTCTGGTTGCATATTGTTGTTGCTTTATTTCAGTTACCTCTTTGCTTAACATTAAAACGGCATTTTTTATAGCTTGTATTTCTTCAATCGATGATGATTGCGTTGGTTGAGAAATTATTGTGCCATCTACTGCGGCTATGGAACCATAACTCCCCATCTCCATCATTTTATCAGCTTGAAGTGCATATTTGTCAAGGTCGCTGCCAGCGATGGATACAACAGCTCGCACTGCAACGGGCAAACGATCTAGCCAAAATTGTTTCAATGCGCCATCGTTCATGGCTCCTGCTGCCAAGTCGCTCATCGTGCGAACTAACTGTGACGGCTTGTCGTCTTGAAGTTCACACTCTAGTATGAGTCTGCGTAGCCTGTTGTTCTCAGAATCGACAAATTTTTGGATAAGGCGGTTCTTTATTGCATCATACATGTTTTGTGATGGAGGTGATCTTATAATGTCCGCGACATTTCTTAGTGTAAAACCATCTAATGACCCAATTACGTAGTCACATTTAGTCTGGTCTTGTGTGATATGTGCGTTGCGAAATTGTGCCTCCATCTGCAGAAAGTATAAGTCCGGATCACGTTTACTAAATACAGGCGGCCTAACACCATCGCGACATATTTCTGCCGGTGCTGTACCTTGCTGTACAGTCGTGCTGATTGCTGCACTTACTGCCTCACCTTCATTCATCATATTTCAGCTTGCCTAAAAATTGAATTGCAAGATTCTGCTGCTGCTACTTCGTTTTTTTTCACAAAATGTTGTTTAAGTCCGGGGTCACTAAATGTCGTGGTGTAAACTGTGTGTGAGTATTTCACAATTAATTAAAGTATACAAAGTTTGTTGTGTTACACGACTAAATTGAACTTTATTTAGATAAAAACGAAATGGAAATCAACAGAAAGTTAACGCAACATTAATATTTTTAGTTTAACCATTGTGGCAACTTTTACTATCTCGTCACTATCTCCACACCAAAATCGCAATGCACTATGCATACAACTAAGTTATTATTATTAATGTAAAACTGGTAAAAAAAAAAAAACCATAAAAAAATATAATAAGACAACAATAGAATTGAGCATTTTTTAGTTGAGAAAGAAATTGTTTATTATTAGTTAATATAAACGCAAAACAAAATAATATAATATAATTGTATAATAATACAAAAAAAAAAATATAATAATAAAATAAAACATCAAAACAATAATAAAACTTGTAAACAACTCACCGTTGTAATTACAAGAACAAATCTACTGTTTGCTTCACACCTTGCGGATATAAAAGGCGAAGCAAAAGCACAAGACGGGGATTCAGCGAGGTGTCGAGCTAAAGAACAGGTCGCTCCATTACATACGTGCTGGAAACACTATTACTAATGAAATTAACATTTCGTTAGTAGTAATAGAAATATAAATTTCTATTACTTATTTGTTCATAACGAAATCAAATTTTCGTTAATAAATTACTCGGTAAGATGATAATTGCACATGAGTATTATCACCCATACCAAATCCATTGCAGAGAGAAGAAATTCACATTTCTTCAAAACACATTGTCAGGGGCGTTGAAATTAACATTTCTACGCCAAATTCATTGAACAGAGAAGAAATTCACATTTCTTCAAACATATTGTCAGGGGCGTTGAAATTAACATTTCTACGCCAAATCCATTGCATACAGAAGAAAGTCACATTTCTTCAAACATATTGTCAGGGGCGTTGAAATTAACATTTCTACGCCAAATTCATTGCATAGAGAAGAAATTCACATTTCTTCAAAACACATTGTCAGGGGCGTTGGAAATTAACATTTCTACGCCAAACCAACTAACTTCACCGAGGAAGATAACCACATCATTGTACCAACGCCACCGTCCACCGTGTATTCAAACTTTTCACTGCTCCTACCAAATAAATTTATTTTAGGACTGGACCTGGAATCCGGCGAGCAAAAACTGCGGCCAAAAAGGTTCGTTACAAATGTTAGTATAAGGTTTTAATAAAGTAAAATGAAGGTATTAATAAGTTTAGTTATTATTAAGTTAGCATAAAATATCAATCTTATTAAGTTATTATTAATTAAATAAAAATTAAAAAAAAAGAAAAATGTAATCCTCCTTAAAATATGAATTAAGTGATAACACTTATTTCTTTTGAGTGTAATATTTTGCCAAATTTTTAATAAATGTGCAGCAAACTACAACAGTAAACAGACCAGCCGCAGGCATTTAAAATAGGCAATAACAACCTAGAAGAAAACTACACAATGTGCACTCTGCAGTTAGAAGTACCGTTTTGCAAGATTTATATAAAAGGAGGAGTAAATCAACATAAAGACACTTGATCACAGGCCACGGAACAGAACATTTCGAAGAACCAAAGGTAATATTCAACCTGGTAACTAAGAAAGTTATTAATATTGGTTCCTAGTCCACTAGTGTAGCCCAGTTGGTAACACTAATTCTTAGCAACGCAACCTTGTCGGTAGCGTTGGTTCCTAGTCCACCAGTGTAGCCCAATCGGTAACACTGATCTGTAGCAACGTAGACTTGTCGGTAGCGTTGGCTCCTAGTCTACCATTGGTCAGATTTTCTTTATTATTACAGGAATTATAGTAATTCTCAATATTCGTAATTGCAATATATGTTGTTGGTAAATAAGTAATACATATTGTAAAAATTAATTTGTAAAAAAAAATAAATAATAGCATTGGCAGACGGGAGCTAAATTATCATTAAGAGGCTAAATTATAATTTATTTGCTCATTTAGCAGTTTTAAATGATCATTTATGGTCTTTAAATGACCGAATTTAACCCAATTTATTCGTCATTTAGGTTTTTAGAAATGGTAATGCTGCATATGCAAGTGAAACGAAATAAAAAATGGAACAAATTTGAAGCTATTTGGTTGACAAAATGTAAACAAAACATATTTGTAAACATTGGTAAATGTAAGTACTCGTTATATTTTTATATTTTTTTTATATATTTTATATTTAATTAAAGCAAGTTTCTTTAATTATTCTTTCTTATCCATTTTGAATTTAAAATTCTCTTGCTTTTTCAATAACAAAAAACATACAGCAAGTTCTTAATGATAATTTATACCGTCTGTCAGGGTATTTTTAAAATGATCATTTAGGGCTGCTTAATAATAATTTAGTGCGCTCGTCTGTCAATGCTATAAAGGAAGTAAGAAGAAGATTCAGGGTTATAAAAAAATATTCTTGTAACGACTCTGGGATCCGGCAAGCGAAACCTTGGCTGATAAAAAGGTTTATTACACTATTTAATAACAAAAGTTAAGAACAAATTTATTAAGTTAAGTATAAATTCCGACAACGCGCTAAAGGCATCAACTATTCACTCTCGTAGTTACTCCGTTAGTTCTGTTTTTTGCATTTTGTCTTTTTGGATCATTCGAACACTGCACAAATCAGAGATGTCAGATGTGTTGTGAAATGTAGCAATTGTTTACATCTAGTGTTTACGTTTTTCATACGTTTTTGATTGCTTGGATGTTTGCCACAGTATATTTATAAAATATATTATTATTATACAAAATTTATTTTCTTTTCACGAGTTGCGAAGAGAACCCTATCCACCTGCGGATAGTTTTGCATTGAACAGATAAAACTGCTTAAAACAGGAGGTCGTCAAGTATCCTGAGATCGCTACAAAACTCCTTCTACCCCAGCATTAGCTGAAGGTGGAACAGCTAATGATGTATTATAGCTGTTCCACCTTCAATATTGGAAAGACTTCTTCTCAGGTTGTTTTTCTTCTATCGGCTCGTATGCGGAAATTAGAATGATGTTTAGAATTGTCTCTTGTGCGGATACTACCAAGAATTCGAAAATCTCTTGCTAACTACAAAACCTCATCTAAAATACAGGCCTATTTGCATGACAATAATATCGATTAGCAGAACTTTAATGATATTGTTGTGAATATGGAATTTAGTAATTGTTTATGTTTGCATTTAATTAATATTATTTAATATTTTTGTTTTTTTTTGTTATTTGGTTACATGTGTTTACATATTATTTGGGCCAACACTGCGACCAGTCATTGACCAACGAAAAGTGCAATTTTGCATTATCAGCTTTTCTTGTTGGTCAATGTACTGAAGAAAGTGTGTAATATGTTGGCCTATAATTATGTCAGCACAGCGTAGTCAAATTTATTTATTTGTGAATTATGCATTAATATTTATTGTTAATTAATGCATAATTTAATAGCTTTTTTATAAAATAATTTTTGTATAAATATAAGAAATAATTTTAATAAAGTTCAGAAGGAAAAGAAAAATCAATTATAACTTTCTTACTTTCTCGCATCGATTAGTTTGGGTTTCAAGTGCTCAAACTTATCAACATAGAAAATACAAGTAGTTTGGGTTACAAGTGCTCAAACTACTTTACACATAAAAATTGGCTACCAAGCTAACACAGATTAAGGATCTGGGTTAGCACCAAGTAGCGTACATTTTTTGGTGACCCCGACGTGATTATTGATATAATATCAATTTTTATTTCATTATCCTGACGAAATACATATCGAAGGAGTCAATTACCTACAAAAGGACACACCAAAAGGTCTACTCATTAACCAGCTGAAGTATTTATTCATCGGAATTTTCGGACTGAAAATTCAAACATCGCCATGGATGCGTTATTAAAGAAGCAGTCAGAGCTCGGTACAGAGATTGAGCGACTGATAACCAATTTCAAAAAGGATTCTAGTACCCGCAAGCAGGATACCACATATTATGAAGAACGACTAAAGAAGCTAAATTCCCTATGGAATGATTTTGAAATAAATGATGCTGAAATCAAAGCATTGCCACAATCTGAACTCGAACACGAGTATTTCAGTACAGGTTACTTTGAAAAAATCTCCAATCTAGTAGTCAAATATGATGAAAGATTCAAGTTGGAGAAATCAAGGCTACTCCTGAAACCACAGGACGGGAAGCCAGTAGTAAGCCCAAGAGGGTCAAACAAAGCTACATCGCTCATGCGAAACATCAAAAAGCAATCCTCATTAATGCATGCATTACGCACAAGCATAGATGAAATATATGAAGAAATAACCATAAAACATCATGCTAGTTATTATGATCTGAAATATTCTCTGATAGAAAAATATCAGAAGGATCTGAGGGATAACAATGATGAAATATGGTCATCAGCCGACGCAGAAGACATCGTCGGATATACTTGGGATCAATACTATTCAACGGATAAAGATGCCCAAAACGCGTTGATATATTTAAAACAACACAGTCAACCAACTGAAGGATTGACGTCAGAGGGGCCTGCAGCAACTCAACAAATCAGACTTCCAAAAATAGTTTTACCAACATTTGATGGAGACTATTTGAAATGGATTGAATTTAGAGATTTGTTTCAACAATTGATCCATGATCAATCAATAAGCGCAGCCCACAAAATGTTCCATCTATCTACAAATTTGGCGGGTGAGCCGAAAGCCCTCATACGGCATCTGCCAATTTCCGAGCAAAATTACAATATAGCTTGGGATATTCTGTCAAATCGGTATGACAACAAACGACTCTTGGTGACAGCATTACTAAATAAATTGTTATCACAACCAAATATAACAATTGAATCAGCAAGCAGTCTTAAGGGCATACATGATGTTACAAAAGAATGTTATTATGGATTA